CTTTGTGGTGTAATAAAGTCGTTAAATTTTCATATTTTTGAAATAGACATAACGACAAAAGAGGAGGTAGTTTTGACCGAAGTTTCAGTAAAAATGTTTAAAAAATAAACAACTGGTTTGCATTAGAATCACAATTTCAGAAAGTTTAACTTCATGAAATGCAATTCATCTAAAACTTTATCGTAGCTATAACTATCATATGCATAAAAGATATTTAGCATGCTTAAATTGAAGAAGAAGAAGAAACTAATCTTTCATTGAACTAACAACACAGTTCACTATGTTTCACTATACTTTTGTTTTTCATTATCCTTCAGTTCTTTTAGAGTTTTTTTTATTAGTCAAGCAGGGGGAATTTTAAAAAAAATTTAATCTCAGAAATGTAAAGTAGTTGGTTCGTTGGTTCGTAAATTTAATGCATAATCCATTTAATTTATTCATTCTACAATTCAATAAATTCTACTATTTATTTCTTTATAACTTCATATTGAAGTACAAAAAAGAATATTGATAATTTCACTTGTCAAGATAATTATTGCATGATTTAACAATGAACATCTTATTAGCTAGTTATTGAAACTGATTAATACATGCAAATACATATGAACAATCAGTATAGTGGTTGTGGAGATTGTTAAGTTTTTGATTGAGATCATGAACCGATTGATGTTAGACCACCATTGAAAACCAGGAAGTACTGGACGGCCATTTCGTCCTATCATGTCGGGTAGAAACAAGTGCCTACCTCAGCACAATGGAAGATGGTCGCGCATTTTCGCGGATTGGTTAGGGTTAAGCGTTCGCGCGCGAGACTGAAGACCCTGGGTTCGAATCCCGCGAGCGGGATCGTGGATGCACATTGCTGAGGAGTCCCACGATAGGACGAAACGGCCGTCCCGTGCTTCCAGGTTTTCATTGGTGGTATCACATCAATCGTTTCATGGTCTCAATCATAAACATATGAACAAACCAAAATAATGACATCACTTTTTATTATTTATTCAACAATAATGAATACAAAGTAAATTTTTTATTGAGTAAATGTATTCACTTTTATTTTCCTCTAGTGTCTAACTATAGATATGATTATTTTCATATTATTTTCACAACTATTTGAGATGTATGGTGATAAACAGAGTGAGGGGAGGATGGGAATGTTAAGAACAATGTCCTATCCCCGTTTTTTTTAAATACTTCTTATTTTCTTTACACTCTGTTTCTTTATTAGAATGCTGAGATTTTTTCCTAGAGAAAACAAACATAGTTTTTAATTCTATAAATTATTTTGTCATTTGAATTACATAATATTCTGTAAGAGATTGAGTGATTATTGTAAAGTGTGATAGACACAGTGTTGAATATACATAGGTGATTATAATACTGTGGGTACACTTGAAAATTCCCTTTATGAATCTAAACATAAATAAGATTGTTAATTATAAACTTGTCTTTTTTTTCCATATCTTATAGCTTAGTTGACAGTGTTTTCTTTTAAACTAGGAAATTATATTTGTTTATATTTGTGTACTAAATAGATGCTTTACTGAGTAGATGAAATAAATAATGTTGATGAGATAAATTTGTACTATATTCTGTATAATTTAAAAGTTGTTTTTCTTTTACCGTAAACATTAGTTCAAAATATAAAATGATTTATTTTCATTTATTTATATTAATACTTCACAAGTTGAAATCATGAGCCAATTGAAGCTAGACCACCACGGGAAACCTGGAAGCACTGAACGGCCGTTTCGTCCTAGTATGGGACTCCTCAGCAGTGGGCATCCACGAACCCGCCCTCCGCGGGATTCGAACCCAGGACCTACTGCTGGTCTAGCTTCAATTGGCTCATGATTTCAACTTGTGAAATTTCTATAAATCTCCACAAAACCCATTCTGATAATTATATTAATATGTTATGATATAATAAGCCCGCTTAAATATTTGGGATACCTTTTCCTGTCATCTAGATATTTCACCAGGTTATCTGTTTCTTTTGTTTGTTTTAATACACCATTATATAAACGAATTGCATAACCTATTCAGATGCGTTTATGAAAAGTTTACGACCTTTCGCTGTACAACTTATAAAAAAGTACAATCAGCGACTTTGTGATGGCTGGAAATATACATTGAAAAGAATGAACATTATTCAGATGTTGACGCCTGAACTGCTAACATCATATTGGCGATCACTCAATATTTATTGAAAGGGTTGATCAAGAACTAAGAAATGGAAACTTGTTAAAATACCTTGTTCTGATAGTTGTATATTGCACCAAAAATATAAAATTGAATAAAGCCATGAAAAATAATAATAAGGTTTCAACTTTATCTAATTATTGTTTACAATTTGTCTAAAATTATCCATTTGGTAAGTTGTTAAACAGAAAGATATCGAATAAATTATTCAGAAGTGTATTACTTCGATACTTGTTTGTTGAGATAATTCAGCTGTGTAATTATTTCATTCACAACACTGTTATATTTGCTGCTAGATTAACGCACAATACGGTACACAAATTATAGAACCCTAAAGTCACAAAATCAGATTGATTGGGTAAATGTACAGAAAATCATACGTATTTATAGATTTTAGCGTTTGTTGTAACGTCATTAAAATTCAGCTAATCCACAAAACGGCAATTTATGCTACTGTCTAATCGTAGCATGCCATGTTGATATTCTAGAAGGCTCTATCACGTTCTGATTAAACGGAACTCTTCGGCTCTTTTAAGACTTCTGAAGGCTCCGTCATAATTTTTGGAAGCTATCTCAACAGACACCTTAACGAATAGACATAGTTGTTTGTATTCTTTACTTTTTACTGTTTCAAGTCAACAGTCTTCTAAATCTAAATTTCAGAAGTTGGGTGATATTTTAATAATTCAATGTGAAGAAAAACCAATTTATGATATCTTTGTTTCATTTGTATTTTCATTGTTTTGTATAAGTTGACTTACTAGATGAAAGTTGTTTTCATGATTCACTTCAACAATAGAATCAGTAGGTTAACTTGTATTACCATACTTCCATAATGACCAAATTGCTGTAATGAAAATATACTTCCTTTACCTAAAATGTATTCATACTCTAAGCTTAACTATACGACTTTATACTAGAAGAGTACGGCTTCCAGCTGACGAGTCCCGAATAGGTCAAAACGAGCGTCTTGGATTCCACTGCTAGCCACCATCCATCTTTTCGTATAAAGCTTGTGAATTAAGGCGATATCAAGGCAATACACACAGTATGCATATATCCCAATAAGAGAAGTGATCAACTGCAGTCCTTAACAACTATGGGCAGATACAAGCAAACGATATCGAGTGAAATTTAAGATTTTGTTTGTTCAAAATATAATGAATAATCTTAGTAAATGGAAAAAATGTACAATCATCAAGGAACTCTTGTATCTGATCACTTTATTATAATTAATTTTACAGTAAAACATATTTTTTGATATAATTTAATGAGTTTTACATTTTCTGGGTTTATGATTATTGTTTGGAATGATCATTCGTTGAATCCTTTTTACTGTTATCTTCTGTTTTACTTCTAAAAAAAAACATTCTGAAAATTCCGAAGAAACAACTAAAGTATAAAATTAACCAAAGTATTACAACCTGTTATTATTATTGTTAAGTGAAGAGGTTTGGTAGTAGTTGAAAACATGTAGGCCACACTTTAATTCATTTGAGATTATTGTATTGATTATTAATGTTTGAAATATTTTTAGTGGGCTAGATAATAGTCCACATTGCTCCAATTTAATTCGTTTCTACCATCAAATTTCTGATAGAACACTGGCTTATTAACTCAACAAGTTTTTATTCATATGAATACCTATGATTTATATTCATAGTAAACCTAGAAGCACTGGACGGCCGCCTCGTCCAAGTATTGAACTCCTAAACAGTGCGCATCCACGATCCCGCAACATGGGGACTCAAACCCAGAATCTTTGGTGTCGCACGCGAACACTTAACCTCTAGACCACTGAACCAGTATCCAACAGTGTTAATGTCTAACTTCAACGAATCCACGAGTCTCGTGTGCGGTATTGTGGTTGCACACTGCTGAAGAGTACCATACTAGGACGAAACAGCTGTCAAGCGCTTCAAGGTTTCCAATAGTGGTCTAGCTTCAATTGATTCATGAATTCAATTGTTTAGTTACTATAATATTAACAAAACACCTCTCTGATTATAATCTTCGTATACTCATTAGTGACGGTATCCAAGACGTATTTCCTGGAGTTCTAGTGATCAGTGGAGTTCAACCGGATCTGTCGTGAGATAATAACTCACTAAATATAATGGTGGAAGGTTGTTCGATTTTGTGGATTGGTTGAAGTTAGACATTAACACCATTGGATGCCGACCGGTTCAGTGGTTTAATGGTTAGGCGGTCGTATGCGAAACTGATCGGTCCTGGATTGGAATCTCACGAGGTGGGATCGTGAATGTGCACTGCTGAGGAGTTCCATCCTTGAACGAAGCGGCCATCCAATGCTTCCAGGTTTTCTATGGTGGTCTAGCTTCAACTGACTCTTGGATTCAACGATTAAATTATTTTACTTGCTTCTACATTTATCCATCTTATATAATATATATATATATATATATATATATATATATATATATATATATATATATATATATATATATATATATATATATATTCTTACTATTGCCGTTGTCATGCATATATAGTGGCAAGTTTAATGAATGAAAACTTTTATATCTAGCTAAACTAATACAACCGTTTATTTAGTTTGAATACTGAATCATGAATCTATATATGTATTAATCTACCTAAATATAGTTAAGCTAATGATAGTCCAATCCATACTATTCCTGACTATTAAATAATTATTTTTGATGGACATACTTTGCTTTATTACAAGGAACTTTAGGAAATACAGTAAATTAGTTCACATTTTAAGAAAAACGACCAATTGGTTTATAAGCGAAGAGTTACAGTAATAAATTAAATTGATGAAACAATTTAAGAAGATTTGTATACTGTATATTACCTGGTAATAAGTTTGTATGATGCTAAAAATCTGGATTAGGTTATTTAGAAGATTTAATTATTTAATGAATAATAGAAATTATAAAACTGAACAGGTGTAAAACAGTTCACTATAGGAACTATATATGGTGGAAAACTTCAATAAATTTGTCTAATCACTTGATGAAACGTTTATTGACAATGATCTTTCAGCATGTGCAATTAAAGTTAAACTTTTACATCACAGGCTTGTTTGATACCTAAAATCAGCT